GAACTAAACCTGAACTAAACTTGAACTTGACTTAAAAGTTCAATATTAAACCTGAACTAAACTTTTTTTAAAAAAAGTTCAAGTTTAAGTTTAGTTTAATTTTGAACTGAACTTGAATTTAGCCAAAAGTTCAGTTCAGTTCAGTTCATAGGAACACTATTGTTAGTAAATCGTTATGTTCTTAAAAAGTACTCTAAAGTGTATAAATAAGTTACCTAGACAATTAATTTACACTAACAAATCATATGAATAACTTATCATGAATCTGTATTATCATATTTATCATATTTACTAGTTTTGTTGTTCAAAACAATTATGTAATCACGTGTCATACATGCAAACAGACAAAAAATTTCTAAATTATGATATTGATCTATTTGTTTATAATAATTATGTTGATACATCAAAAAGAATTTTTCATGATCGAAACACATCAAAAATGTAACTTTTGTATTACTTAGTACATAAAAATTGAGTGTCCATCGCTATGCTCTGAACAATAATAAGTTTATTTATATAGCAAAAATAAATTAGTGATCTGTCGCTATACAACTCTTTTAAGATTAACTAATTATTTTAAACTTTATATCTTGAATATGTACTGATTTGTAATGTAACAAAAATAATTTATTTAAGGTTAAAAAGTAGTTTATATAGTTAAACTGCCTAACAAAAAACTTTTTATTAGAGCATTAAAGATTTTTGACAGTGCTAAAACCAAACTCTGGTATATATTTATTATGATATCGATTACTTATTATTTATTTGTTGCTTGGCATATATTGTGTATAAATTATATGTTGACAAACAGGTATATTTTTTGGTTGTATTCTAAAAGTATTATTTTGGTAAAATATGTATAAATTATATATTAGCATTCTAAAAGTATTTTTATCTTGGTGAAATATACATAAATTATATGTTAGCAAAACATATTCTGAAAGCATTTTTATCTTAATGAAATTTCTCTATATAATAAAAATAGGAGTAACAAAATAAAGAAAACAAGTACTTGTAAACCAAAAGCAGACCATAATTACTGTTCAAAAAAAAAATAATGAAATAAACAATCAAGACAAAGAAAAAAAGATAAAAAAGAAAACAAAAAATGAAAAAAATGAAAATCATAAGGCAGACAAAGAGTTAAAAAAAAAAATCTAGTGATGAAACAAGAATAAAAAAGGAATTAAATCTTTTTTTATTTAAAGCAAAGTTTAGCTAATAGTATTATCTTTGCAACAATAAAAAAAACTTGAGTATGAATAGTTCAAACAACCAAGACATAGAGCTTGAGATTTTGAATAATCAAAACTTAAAACCTAAAGCATTAGACAATCAAAATATAGAATCTGAAGTATTGGACAATCAAAACTTAGAATCCGAGATATTAGACAATCAAGATATAGAACTTGAAGTATTAGCAGTATATAATAATATAAATAATCTCTTTGATATTGATAAGTAAGTAATGAGATACCTTATATTTTATTTGCTGTTGATTTTTTTTTTCATCATTATTTTTGTTTTAGCTTTGATGATATTAAAGAATTTTTTGTTGATAAAGCTTTTAAAAGCTAGGATCAAATAGCAGACTTCATGAAAAAATATGCTATTGTTAAAGGCTATGGTATATGAATTGGTAGTAGCAGAAGAGTAAATATAAAAATAAAAATAATAATAAAACAGACATATTTGTATCACTATAGTAGTAAACTAGCAAAATTAAGCAAGGTGTCTTGCAGAGTAGAGTATCTGTAAAAAGTCAATTTTTGGTTTAAAAATAATAAAAATTGCATTGAAATTACTGCTTTTAATAATCAGCATATTGGACATAAACTTAACTCATTAGCAAGCTAGTTTGATCTAACATTACACAAGTTACCAAAAGAAATTGTTGAGGAAATTTATTTTTTTGACAACAGTTGCAAAGGCAGATGCAACTATGCAATATAAAATAATCTGAGAAAAGTATAATGTTAGAATATACTGACTGGATCTATACAAAACAATACAAATATTTCAGTATGATTCTGAATCAGATAAAGATAACGCAAAAATGTTGTTGAAAAGACTTAATGAAAAGAAAATTAAAAACCCTGATAGTTTGTTTTAATGAAATTTGATCCAGTTACTTCTTTATTAATTTACCTCTTCTAGATAAGCCCAGAGCAACAAGTTTTATAGTTACACTACTATGATATAATAATACACAATAATACATGTAAAACTAATTGATATAATCACCCTTGTCTATTTTTGTTATACCTGACAATAATTTGAAAACACAGATTGTAGCCCAAGCTATTGTTGATGACAAAACATAATTTGGATCTCTTTTAGTATAGGTGGACATATATAAATTATTACAAGATTATAATATATAAAACCTAACTAATTTGAGCTAATTTAAATTCTAACTATAATTCTAACTCTAATAATTTATAAAATTGCTTAATAGGGTTTGGGTCTCATAGCTTATTGGTTAAGCTCCCAAACCCCTACAAACAAGATCAACGGTTCGAGTCGGGCTGAAGGCAAATTAAATAATTTGTTTCTGTAACCTACAGGGGCTATAATCGAATGCAAAGCCCTGTGGAAAGTCCAAGTGCAGTACGAAACCAGAATAAGAAGTTCCCGGAAGGAGACCAGGTTGCGGAGTGAAGGCATTACGTGTGATAGCGGCGTCATAGAAGGTCTAGGCAGTAGAAGATCGTGCGTGTAAGTCCTTGAGTTAGGGTGACTCGGGGCAATACCAACATCCTATCACCACCATATTCAGCAATACCAACATCCCTACACCCA